GCTGACTACTCTGAGACATACGGCCCTATAATTTCCGCGATGCGGAAAACACAGACTGGTTCGTAGAATCCAGTCGTAAAAACGGAATTCCTATAGCCTAACGCGGAAGGAATATGCCACATTTTGGACGAATAAATCAAAAGTACGTCAGTGCACTTGAATCAAAACGCGATATGGACTAGTGTATGTGAATATTAAGCCGCGACAATATATGAATCCTGCACGTTCTGCCCCAGATAGCAAAAATAATCTGGGCCAGATCTGGCCCAGACCCATCGGAAGTTCTGGTCCAGATCCGCACAACGGACTCGGGCCGGTGTCTTTTGGCACAACGGGCCAATACCGGCACGGATCCGTTTTTCCAGATCTGGACCAGATGCGGATTCCTTTATGGTGATTTGGGCCAAATATGGGCCGGATCTGGGCCAGCTCATTTTGTGTGTGTGTATATAGGCCTACACACACACACAAATAAGTTGTATACATATCTAGAATTCAAATACAATTAGTTTATTTGTATAGTGCTTTTCACAATACATATTTCAATACAGCTTTACAGAAAATGCATGTTACTTTGTTACAAATAAAAAGAGTAATGTCCATATGCCACAGTATTTGTACAGTTCCCGGATAATACAAATCATATAAGTAGATTATGACTGTATTTAAGCATAAATTATGAAAGCAATGATTACAAGCATCTTACATAATACATAATTAAATATCTTACTGTCTTATGCCACTGATATGTTTTTGTTAAGTTGTTATACGAAGCTCTTAGACAACAAAAAGTTTAAAGTACTGATTTAGATGTACAGACAATTACTGTACTGAACACTCTATTAAAACAATATTCATATTAAAACAATTGAATTACTACAAAAAACAATGCAAAAGATTTGCCACTGTGCATCTTTTCTTTCCTTCTGATAAACTTTAATTTAGCTTTTTTGTGCAAAAACTATTTAAAACACTACCCCAAGTAGCACAAGTCTCTAGTTCTAGTGCTTACTGTACATAATATTCACTAAGCTTAAAGGGTTAGTTCACCCAAAAAGGAAAATTATGTCATTAATTAGTCACCCTCATGTCGTTCAAAACCCATAAGACCTCCGTTCATCTTCGGAACACAAATTAAGATATTTTTGATAAATTCCGAGAGCTCTCTGATCCTCCTATAGACAGCAATGGAACTACTACGATCAAGGTCCAGAAACATAGCAAGGATATCTGTAAAATAATCCATGTGACATCAGGGGTTCAACCGTAATTTCACGAAGCTACGATAATACTTTCTGTATGTTCAAATCAAAGCGTAAACATAGGGTGAAAACGTATCTGCGTGACGCAGCTGACACAGAACAGCATACGCGGTTTGTGTTCAGTGGATACTCTCCATTGTGCAGAGGAAAAATAAATGCGGAACTACATTCAGAAATAAATGAGTGATCAAAGGAAAATAAATAGGTTGAGCTTAGTATTTACTTAAACATTTTCCATTTGCCCACCAATTTATTTGATTTATTTGCCTACTTTAATCACGTTTAATTATTTCTATATGTATTTAAACAAGAATTTGTGTATTTATACACACATTTATTTGCATATTTATTTATTTATTTATTTGTGTATTTATTTATTTATTTATTGTTTTTGCAGGTTTCGTCCTCCATAGTAATGGTAGCATCTGAATAAAAACTATTACTTTCAATGAATGGATTATTGCTATTTTCTTATTGTCTTTATGAATAATCTGTAAATTATGCAGCATTTGTCCTGGAAACTCTTACCAAATGTTACCAAACCATCAACCTTTTCTAAGTCTGCTGATATCTCTTCTTTATGACCTGATAGAAACAGCAGTCTCAATACAACCAGACACACACGAACCCAACACACCCAAAACAGGGACATATAAAAATGTGTAAATATGGGAGGAGCTCTAAAATCTCTGTAGTTCAGTGAGAGAAAAAGTGAAACTAACTTGATGAACAATCATATGGACCCTTAAACGGTCAACGTCTTTAAACATCAGAATATTTACTGAGCCATTCAAAGACCCTTTGGACACATCTGATACCCGGTAAGTGACAGAAATTAAATATAAGAGAGATTGTTTTGAGTGGGTTTCTAATGCAAGTGATATGGTTTAGTAGGGTTTATGTCAAACTGTAGTAAGTGGAACAGAACCAGGTTTAAGCATGTAAAATACTCAATCAGATATCAGAATTGTAAGCATGTCGTTTGATTGGCTGCAATTGCAAAGCAAAGTTTGCTGTCATTTTGTCGCATGACATAAAGTCTAAAGAAACAGGAAAAGAATGGCCAGCAGACTGACTGATCTTTTTCTTATCAATATAAAAACACTTATTTAGATCACTTTAACTTAACTCTGTTAGAGACAATATGTGCCAGATTTACTAACAGCGCAAAAAAAAAAAAAAAATGTCTTTACTAAAGACACGCAGTGAAACATTGACGATGAAGAGCTAGGCGTGGACTATGGACAATTATTTTTCAGACGCAAAATTTATGGGTGGAGAGTATTTAAAGTAATCATACAAGAGGTGTGTTTGACTTCGACCGATTTTTGCATTATTGTAAGGGGTAGGTTTAGGGTTGGGGTAGGTGTAGATGTTAATAAAACACAATCTAATAGGTAGAAAATTCAATTTATTGTTAGCTTCTGGTTTTTGCTGTATCCCTTCTAGCCACAACTGCTTCAAGTCGAACACAGGTGATTTATTAAGGTTTGCGGAAGTCAGTCTGCGCAATTATTTAACCCATTTTAACCCATTTTGCGCCTGTGTTGTTAGTAGATTACAGACACCCAACTGATTATTACAGGTGCTGTTTGCTTACGACCCTGAGCAGAAACTTAAATTTTAGAAAACTCTATTTTAAAGATAATGAGAAACATAAATTCAGTCAAGTGTCCGAACTTTAGTGTAGGTGATATATCATCATTTCTCTTTCCAGATATGGCGTCCTCCGGTGCTCTACTGGCTGAGGAGCTTCATTGCTCTATATGTCTGGATGTGTTCACTGATCCAGTCAGCACTCCATGTGGACACAACTTCTGTAAGAGCTGCCTGAGCCAGTGCTGGGACAGCAGCCAGACCTGCAAGTGTCCATACTGTAAAGAAGCGTTCAATCAGCGACCTGATCTCAAGATTAATATCACACTACGAATGGTTGTCGATTATTTTAAAATGAAAGGTAGGCTACTGCAGAGCAGGAGTGACACATTTCGTGCTATTCTGTCAAAGTTTAGTATTTGTAATTTAAGAACTTAAAACATTTTCTTAAAACATATGTGGAATGTTGTTTGTAATCATTAGGTTGTGTTTTTTTTTTTTTACTAAAGTCAAGAAAAAGCAGGATGCAGCACAAATATGAAGTATACAGATGCATAGACGAAAAAAGCTAAAAATGTGTAAAGGAATTCTGTAATACAAAAAAATTCATAAATTGAAAGTCTTGTTTCTGTGGCACTTCCACATGACTTTATTTCAGTATAGTGACATATTTCCAGCTGAAATGTAATATTGAATAGAGGGCGGGGTTTTATTTTTGCACTCCTCCTCTCCATCTCTCGCTCATAGCAAACTAATGGTTGGAGGGGCGTGGTTAAAGATATTCTGCCCAATCAGTCAAACTGACATCATCAGAGAAGGAATGCCATTCCAGAGCAGAAGCAAATGTTCAGATTTTGATTAAAGATTACCAAGACAAACAAATTTTTTTTTTCAGTGAATGTGCATGGATTAATTGTTTACCACAAGACTAGCAATGTGCACTAACAAAGTAAATTTTACCAAAATTGTACATTTGGATTTGTACATTTTTACATTTCTTTATTGTGTAGTGTTGCTGTTTGAGAATGAAAAAGGTCCGCAAACTTAAAAAACACTCAAGTGAAGTTTTTCTCTCAGCAAGCACTGTTTCTGAACTACGTGAAACGCCTGCGTTTTCTTCTGTAAACATACATGTCACAATATCCCTCATTTGACTAAATTCCCACCCAAGGCATACTGGTGGTTATGGTAGGGGGTGTGACATTTCTGAAACACGCTTGAAACGGTTGGCCAATCTTAACACATTGGTCCAATCTAATTAAAGCATGTTGCGCTTTTTGGAAGGAGGAGAGACTGCAACTAAGGTAAAGCGTTTCAGACAGATGGGGAAGAGAGGTTCTACAATAGTATAAAAAAATGTGTCAGGCATGAATATTCTAGTAGACTTCAAAAACAAAACGAAGGCTTTAAAAAAGGGCATCTAATCCAGTGGATGAGCACACATAAAATATTTCATATGACTTATAATATATTTAATATAAAATATGTAATAAATCCCTAAAGCTTGTCTGTAATTTCACACAAAAACATCTGAAACATCTCTTGATCTTTTATTGTCATTTGTCTCTACAGAGCTGAGTAGGAGGGAGCGGTATGCAGGTACATTGTGCTGTCTGCACTACACTGGTTTACATTTATATCTTCACAGCTTCATTACCTCAGTACAATTTAATTATCATCATCATCACAAAATCTTTCTATTGTGAAGTTGTGATTCATATTCTCTGTTTTCTCAGTGGATGTGACTCTGGATCCTGATACAGCTAATCCTGAACTCATCCTGTCTGATGATAGAAAACAAGTGAGGCATGGAGACATTAGGCAGAAACTCCCAGACAATCCAAAGAGATTTGATTACTATGTAAGTGTCCTGGGAAAGGAGGGGTTCTCCTCAGGGAGATTTTATTTTGAGGTGCAGGTGAAGGGAAAGACTGCATGGGCTTTAGGAGTGGCCAGAGAATCTACTAACAGGAAGGGAAACATCATACTGAATCCCAGGAATGGATTCTGGACTGTGTGGCTGTTTCATTGGAATGAATATGCAGCTTTCTCTGGTCCCCCTGTCTCTCTTTCTCTGAGAGTGAAACCGCAGCGGGTCGGTGTGTTTGTGGATTATGAGGAGGGTCTGGTCTCCTTCAATGATGCAGAGTCCAGATCTCATATCTACTCTTTCACTGGTCAGTCTTTCACTGGGAAACTCTATCCATATTTTAGCCCATCCTTTGGATATAATGGTACAAACTTAACTCCACTGATCATCACACCTGTCAGTTGCAATAAATGAATTTACACTATTAATATGAAATACAAGATGAAAATAATGCTTTTTGTAACAACATCTGGAAATATTAATTCGAGAAGTGGACAAATTGGTCTGTATGAAAAGAGAACTCTTTTTTTTCTGAAATAACTCAAAACTGACAAAAGTAATTGACGTGCATGATTATGTATTCCATATTTAATACAAATACGACTTTGTTTTATTATTTGAAATATTCTGTTGAATCAAAAATCAAAGCAAAGTAAAATGGCATGGACAAAAATGATGGGGCCTTTCACCCAATATTTTGTTGCACAACCATTAAAGGCAAATACTGGAATGAAGTGATTTCTGTATCTCACAGTGTACAGGTATTTTTTGCTGCTCTTCATGATCAAATTGCTCCAGCTGTATCAGGATTGAAGGGTGTCTTCTCCAGACTGCAGGTTTCAGCTCTTTCCATGTAGATGTTCAATAGGATTCAGATCAAGGCTTTTAGAAGGCCATTCACAATAGTCCAGTGTTTTGTTCTTAGTAATTCTTGGGTGCTTTTAGCTTTGTGCTTTGGGTCATTATCTTGTTGAAGGACCCATGACCTGTGACTGAGACAGAGCTTTCTGACAATGAAATCTCAATGCCTTGATGGTCTTGAGATTTCATTGTTTGCTGCACAAACACTTTTTTTTCGTCTGTAAACATAGACTTGATGTGACTTCCCAAAAAGCTCCAGTTTTGTCACATCCATCCAAAGGACATTCTCCCAGAAGCATTGTGACTCGTCAATATGCATTTTAGCAAATTCCAGTCTGGCTTCTTTCATTTTTCTCATATGCCATTGCTTAAAATATTTTTTTATTCACTTCTACAAGTACATATTTTAAATATAAAAAAAAATAAACTATATAAAATTTATACTTTGTTCAGAACAATCAAGTCATTTATTTTCTCCTCTCTACCTGTCAAAGTGAAATTACATAGACCTATAAAATATTGCTGCTTTGCATCAAAATGGTTTCAAAATGTTGAATCGATTATTGATTTTGTACTCCTATTGTCTTTTTAAGAAACATCTGTAAGTTGGGCAGCATTTGTCCTGGAAACTATTAACACATTTTGTCAAATGATCCAAATAAATGTTTTCTAAGTCTGCTGATATCTCTTCTTTATGATCTGACAGAAACATCAGTCTCAAGACAAACTGACACACACAGAGTTCCAAATAAATGTTTGAGATATGTTCATGATAATTTAATTACATAAATAAGTTGCTGTTTACCTCACTTCTGAAAATTAAGTGCCCTTTCCTAAAGAAACAGAGAGAATGATACAAAACGAAAATACAGAGTAAGGCTGGTTAATAGACGCAAAATTTATGGGTGGAGAGTATTTAAAGTAATCATACAAGAGGTGTGTTTGACTTCGACCGATTTTTGCATTATTGTAAGGGGTAGGTTTAGGGTTGGGGTAGGTGTAGATGTTAATAAAACACAATCTAATAGGTAGAAAATTCAATTTATTGTTAGCTTCTGGTTTTTGCTGTATCCCTTCTAGCCACAACTGCTTCAAGTCGAACACAGGTGATTTATTAAGGTTTGCGGAAGTCAGTCTGCGCAATTATTTAACCCATTTTAACCCATTTTGCGCCTGTGTTGTTAGTAGATTACAGACACCCAACTGATTATTACAGGTGCTGTTTGCTTACGACCCTGAGCAGAAACTTAAATTTTAGAAAACTCTATTTTAAAGATAATGAGAAACATAAATTCAGTCAAGTGTCCGAACTTTAGTGTAGGTGATATATCATCATTTCTCTTTCCAGATATGGCGTCCTCCGGTGCTCTACTGGCTGAGGAGCTTCATTGCTCTATATGTCTGGATGTGTTCACTGATCCAGTCAGCACTCCATGTGGACACAACTTCTGTAAGAGCTGCCTGAGCCAGTGCTGGGACAGCAGCCAGACCTGCAAGTGTCCATACTGTAAAGAAGCGTTCAATCAGCGACCTGATCTCAAGATTAATATCACACTACGAATGGTTGTCGATTATTTTAAAATGAAAGGTAGGCTACTGCAGAGCAGGAGTGACACATTTCGTGCTATTCTGTCAAAGTTTAGTATTTGTAATTTAAGAACTTAAAACATTTTCTTAAAACATATGTGGAATGTTGTTTGTAATCATTAGGTTGTGTTTTTTTTTTTTACTAAAGTCAAGAAAAAGCAGGATGCAGCACAAATATGAAGTATACAGATGCATAGACGAAAAAAGCTAAAAATGTGTAAAGGAATTCTGTAATACAAAAAAATTCATAAATTGAAAGTCTTGTTTCTGTGGCACTTCCACATGACTTTATTTCAGTATAGTGACATATTTCCAGCTGAAATGTAATATTGAATAGAGGGCGGGGTTTTATTTTTGCACTCCTCCTCTCCATCTCTCGCTCATAGCAAACTAATGGTTGGAGGGGCGTGGTTAAAGATATTCTGCCCAATCAGTCAAACTGACATCATCAGAGAAGGAATGCCATTCCAGAGCAGAAGCAAATGTTCAGATTTTGATTAAAGATTACCAAGACAAACTAATTTTTTTTTTCAGTGAATGTGCACGGATTAATTGTTTACCACAAGACTAGCAATGTGCACTAACAAAGTAAATTTTACCAAAATTGTACATTTGGATTTGTACATTTTTACATTTCTTTATTGTGTAGTGTTGCTGTTTGAGAATGAAAAAGGTCCGCAAACTTAAAAAACACTCAAGTGAAGTTTTTCTCTCAGCAAGCACTGTTTCTGAACTACGTGAAACGCCTGCGTTTTCTTCTGTAAACATACATGTCACAATATCCCTCATTTGACTAAATTCCCACCCAAGGCATACTGGTGGTTATGGTAGGGGGTGTGACATTTCTGAAACACGCTTGAAACGGTTGGCCAATCTTAACACATTGGTCCAATCTAATTAAAGCATGTTGCGCTTTTTGGAAGGAGGAGAGACTGCAACTAAGGTAAAGCGTTTCAGACAGATGGGGAAGAGAGGTTCTACAATAGTATAAAAAAATGTGTCAGGCATGAATATTCTAGTAGACTTCAAAAACAAAACGAAGGCTTTAAAAAAGGGCATCTAATCCAGTGGATGAGCACACATAAAATATTTCATATGACTTATAATATATTTAATATAAAATATGTAATAAATCCCTAAAGCTTGTCTGTAATTTCACACAAAAACATCTGAAACATCTCTTGATCTTTTATTGTCATTTGTCTCTACAGAGCTGAGTAGGAGGGAGCGGTATGCAGGTACATTGTGCTGTCTGCACTACACTGGTTTACATTTATATCTTCACAGCTTCATTACCTCAGTACAATTTAATTATCATCATCATCACAAAATCTTTCTATTGTGAAGTTGTGATTCATATTCTCTGTTTTCTCAGTGGATGTGACTCTGGATCCTGATACAGCTAATCCTGAACTCATCCTGTCTGATGATAGAAAACAAGTGAGGCATGGAGACATTAGGCAGAAACTCCCAGACAATCCAAAGAGATTTGATTACTATGTAAGTGTCCTGGGAAAGGAGGGGTTCTCCTCAGGGAGATTTTATTTTGAGGTGCAGGTGAAGGGAAAGACTGCATGGGCTTTAGGAGTGGCCAGAGAATCTACTAACAGGAAGGGAAACATCATACTGAATCCCAGGAATGGATTCTGGACTGTGTGGCTGTTTCATTGGAATGAATATGCAGCTTTCTCTGGTCCCCCTGTCTCTCTTTCTCTGAGAGTGAAACCGCAGCGGGTCGGTGTGTTTGTGGATTATGAGGAGGGTCTGGTCTCCTTCAATGATGCAGAGTCCAGATCTCATATCTACTCTTTCACTGGTCAGTCTTTCACTGGGAAACTCTATCCATATTTTAGCCCATCCTTTGGATATAATGGTACAAACTTAACTCCACTGATCATCACACCTGTCAGTTGCAATAAATGAATTTACACTATTAATATGAAATACAAGATGAAAATAATGCTTTTTGTAACAACATCTGGAAATATTAATTCGAGAAGTGGACAAATTGGTCTGTATGAAAAGAGAACTCTTTTTTTTCTGAAATAACTCAAAACTGACAAAAGTAATTGACGTGCATGATTATGTATTCCATATTTAATACAAATACGACTTTGTTTTATTATTTGAAATATTCTGTTGAATCAAAAATCAAAGCAAAGTAAAATGGCATGGACAAAAATGATGGGGCCTTTCACCCAATATTTTGTTGCACAACCATTAAAGGCAAATACTGGAATGAAGTGATTTCTGTATCTCACAGTGTACAGGTATTTTTTGCTGCTCTTCATGATCAAATTGCTCCAGCTGTATCAGGATTGAAGGGTGTCTTCTCCAGACTGCAGGTTTCAGCTCTTTCCATGTAGATGTTCAATAGGATTCAGATCAAGGCTTTTAGAAGGCCATTCACAATAGTCCAGTGTTTTGTTCTTAGTAATTCTTGGGTGCTTTTAGCTTTGTGCTTTGGGTCATTATCTTGTTGAAGGACCCATGACCTGTGACTGAGACAGAGCTTTCTGACAATGAAATCTCAATGCCTTGATGGTCTTGAGATTTCATTGTTTGCTGCACAAACACTTTTTTTTCGTCTGTAAACATAGACTTGATGTGACTTCCCAAAAAGCTCCAGTTTTGTCACATCCATCCAAAGGACATTCTCCCAGAAGCATTGTGACTCGTCAATATGCATTTTAGCAAATTCCAGTCTGGCTTCTTTCATTTTTCTCATATGCCATTGCTTAAAATATTTTTTTATTCACTTCTACAAGTACATATTTTAAATATAAAAAAAAATAAACTATATAAAATTTATACTTTGTTCAGAACAATCAAGTCATTTATTTTCTCCTCTCTACCTGTCAAAGTGAAATTACATAGACCTATAAAATATTGCTGCTTTGCATCAAAATGGTTTCAAAATGTTGAATCGATTATTGATTTTGTACTCCTATTGTCTTTTTAAGAAACATCTGTAAGTTGGGCAGCATTTGTCCTGGAAACTATTAACACATTTTGTCAAATGATCCAAATAAATGTTTTCTAAGTCTGCTGATATCTCTTCTTTATGATCTGACAGAAACATCAGTCTCAAGACAAACTGACACACACAGAGTTCCAAATAAATGTTTGAGATATGTTCATGATAATTTAATTACATAAATAAGTTGCTGTTTACCTCACTTCTGAAAATTAAGTGCCCTTTCCTAAAGAAACAGAGAGAATGATACAAAACGAAAATACAGAGTAAGGCTGGTTAATTAATATTTTCATAAATTCATTTCATATTTGTCTAGAAAATTAATATTTGTATTAGTGCTGGGCAACGATAATAAAAAAAAAAGAAAAGTGATTAATCGCATGATTGTCTGTGATTAATCGCATTGTTATGCACAAAAATGTAATAATGCATTCAAAAGTAGTGTATTGTGCACTTTTTTTCATTTAAAAGTACTACTATATGAACAAAAACGCACTTTAAACAAATAAGGTGCTTTTTTTTTTACAGCAGTAGTCCTTACTTCTTAGTAGCAGTTAAAATATATCTTGTAAATCTCAACTTATAACATTAATGTAATCAAATTAAATACAAAACCAAAGCTATTTGCCACTGCCAGGGCATTAACGTTTTTATAGGAAATATTTTATAGTTTGTTATAGAAAAGCAAGTTATGCTCAGAGTCCAGAGCCTCGATCATAACATTTTAACAGACACCTTAGAGACCTGCACGATCGCGGGACCCAACGCAGCAGAGTGCGGCAGAGTGCGGCGC